ACAAGGTTATACTTCACTTATAATAAATATATATATATAACTATATGGACTATTCACTGTTATACATATATATATATATATTATATTGTATTATATTTTATTATATTATATTATATTTTATTTTATTATATTATATTATATATATGGGTTGTTTTTATGGATTCAAAACCACCAACTGGACCATCGTTGGTTTGTTCTAATTCATTTTCTTTTACTGCTTAAGTCACTATGTTTCCTCGTTCAGTCCACATTTTTCATGGTGAAATGTTCATCGTTGGTGGTGAAATCTCATTTTTCTCGGCCAACTCCTTGATGTCAGCAGTTCCCCAGGTGAATCGCGAATCGCCCAAGAGGCCTGCCGGCATCACCCGCCTGTGACGGCGACGAGTGAGTGCGGCACAGAAAATTTGTCAAAGCTGCGGCCATGGGAGCGGTTTGGAACTGGGGTGGCTGGGGGGTTAAGCAAGAAATACCAAGAAATACCAAGAAATACCAAGAAATACCAAGAAATACCAAGGAATACCAAGGAATATCTGGATTTAACACATGATTTCACCAAATAGGGATACAACTGGGATTTTTTGTGGGATCACCATGGATAACCAACATGATATGGCTATGGGATGAGCCAAAATGGGTGCTTCGGTTGAATTCTAAAAAACACAAATTTTGTTGGCCAAGTACAAGAGTTTCTCACATTTGCCAAGTTATGTATATCTATAGCATCCTCAAAAAGATACATTTACCCCTATTTGATATGATTTTATCTTATTTGTTTGGGGGGCCCCCCCCAGTTGGAACTGGACCGATCCTACTTGCCCTGCGTAAAAATCTTTTTTTTACCCACAACAACTATTTGGGATACATCGCACAACTGCGATACACCCAAAATTCTTTAGTAATTTGTCACAATCCATCCTGACTCCTGACCAATCATTTAGGGCTTATTGTACATCATCCCAAATTTGCGTGCACACAGCGCAAGAAATTCCCCTCAGGTCCACAAGGTTTTTCGCTGGGCTCTTTGGTCAGAGGATCTCACCATTGGTGATTTCAAATGTTTGTGTACCCTCTGGTAAACATACAAAAAACTATGGAAAATCACCATTTTTAATGGGAAAATCCACTATTTCTATGGCCATTTTCAATTGCTATGTTAGTTCACCAGAGGGTAACCTCGAATCCCTACTTGGGGTTGAAGCCACCAACTAGATGTTGCTGGTGAAGTATGTCCAGATTTGAGGCTGATCGGAATGAAAGTCGGAGACATGGCCCATGTTGCATGGCCCATTTGTGTATGGTAAAACTTGGTTGAACGACTAGGTTAATGGATTCCCGTAATTGTTAGCCACTTGGGGATGTGATACTCACTGTTTCTTGTCCGGTTAATTAGTATTTAAGATTG